TTGTTCTTGCTTGTTTGCCAATATCTGGTCCGAATTTTTATTTATTTATTTATTTATTTATTTTTTTTTTTGTTTAGTCAGAATATTTCTCTTACTAACAAATTGTAAAAGATATGAAAAGTTTTTCTTTTGTTTTGACTTATTTTTGCTTTATGTGCGTTAAGAAGTGCATAAAATCATTTTTCAAATTACCATTTAAACTAATACAAGAGTAACATATATTTGTGAATATTTGCATGATATTCCCGTTCTATACACGCACAAGTACATTTATTGCATTATTACTATTATTTTCATACCATAAGTACAGGTGCTCAACATGCACTGGAAAGGAAAAAAGAATAAAAAAATAATATATACATAGATACATATAAATATATATATATATATATATAGATGTATGTATATATGAAAATAAAACATTTATTATTTTGTGCTTTTTTATTCGGACATTGTATCTCCTAAATGCATGTACATGTAAATATCTATGATTTGCCTTTCATATAAATGCATGTGTACATGAGTTTTTGGTAAATATATGCTGGCCTGTCTACGTGCATGTATGTATAGGTTTAAAAGTGTAAATATCATAAAAGTTTTGGCTCATGTTAAACATATTATTAGAAAACTTGTTTTCTTTCCCTCTTTTTTTTTTTATCCTAAAAATATATACACACACACTCTCTCTCTTTCTTTCGCTTTCACTCGCATGCAAACGTTTACACATACTTACTTAAAATAATTGCATGTTTTTCTCTTCTTTCGAAGTCATAAATTCTGTTGGCTTTTGGTACTAATTTACTTTTACATGTGTTAAGTAGAGCATGTAATGGTCATAAATTTTTGGTATTTTTTAGACAGACATAAATATATATACATATACATATATATATATATAAAATAATAAATATTGGAAGAAAAAACTAAAGAAAATGGCTAATAAACGAGTCTTAGGTCCTCTCAGATAACTTTTCTTAAACATATGAAAATCTATGGCATAAGAAAAAGTACTTGAACATACAAAAACAAAATCGTAAAATTTTGGAAAAGTTTTCGATAATTTTATAGCATGAGCCACACCACAATCGAACAGAACAAAGGAAAACTAATTTCGTCCTTTTGCTTGCAACATACAAAATAATGCATTAAAGATTCTAAAAATGCTTCACCGCTACGAGAGGATTTGGCTGTGTGTTCGTTTGCCTGGGAGGCTCTTCACTTCGCTTGTAATATTTATAGAGAATATTTGAAGCTTGTCTGCTTTAAATCCGGATTTATCTACACTACTCTACCCTCCCTTCCGTCCCTTCAATATTCCGAAGATATTTGCGGTGTATTTAAACCGGGGACGATTTCATGGATTTCGTCAATTTCCGCCCGAAAACATTATTACGTTGCGAAAATTCTGATAGAAGCAATACCATAGTATAGGCATTTTTAGTTAATGTTCCCAAAGCGGTGGGGACACAATCCGCACATCAAAGCTGTAGCTTAGTAACCAATAACTGATTATAATTGCATTATTGCTTTGTATTAGTTACTTCTCCCTTATTGAGGCATTCTTCACATGAATTTATTTATTACATATAAATCCTAGCTTGGACTGGTCTGTCCAAATATTAGATCCTAAACGCCAGGGCTTAGTCGCTGACCTGTCGAATAAGTTTTCGTGGAAATTATTTCTGTTTTTAAAAAAATGTCAAAAAATCTGCCACTGAAAGTGTTGTCCCTCGTCAACCTATGCTTTCTGGCACTAATTAAAGTGCATATCTTCCAAAGTTATTGAACACTCCACACATTTTTTTTTTACTTCTTCATAAGAATAAAAGCGCTGCTCACTCAGGCCATATGCCATCGATCGCATCAAGTTGTCAGTCGTCAGTTTGCGTTGAATATGGCTGAGAAGGTACCATAACGCAAGCTGACACTACCAACAAGTTTTAATGTATGGTGCTGAATTTCATTTGGTATGTAGTACACGCTTTTCGTCTCAATTCAATTAATTTATTGTTGCTGTCGATAAAGTTACTCAGCGATCGCGTCTTTTCATTCGAGCAAACCGCAGTACACCAAACCTGGCGAGAACTTATGCAACATGTTAATAGAAAAATTTTTTAAAAACTTCTTTGGTATGAATGCTTCATCACAAAGTCTCTTTAGCGTGAAGAAGTTTGGCGTACACATTATCTTCTTATTGGCGATCTCGCCAATTTTTGTCTACGAAATGCCCATGCCCTCTTTAATAGTAAATATGTCATTCAATCTTAGGCATATTTTTAGAAAATGTGAATAGTAGATCACGTTAAATAACTTACACACCTTTGCTTAATACAGTTATTCATTAAATTACTTTTCAAAATAACTTTTCACATGGAAAGTGGTCGAAGAATTGATCCGTTCCTAATCATTTTCGATAACGCCCGTCCTTGAACCGAAGCAAGTCAAATGTCATTAACATAGCTCAAAAAATAGCAAATGTGAGGCGTGGGTTGAGGATAAGAATACAAGACGTACGGACGGAGAGACAAACTTGGACCGATTCAGAAACTTATTCCGAATCGATCGTTAGAATAAAACTTGGTCTTTGTCATATTCTTTCTTTGTATGCATCCGCACAAGCTTAATAATCCTTTACACTACAACTGGTGTAGGGTATAACAACATATATAAAATATTTTTTTAAAAATATTATCCATCCAATATTATCCATTAGTGCTTTTCTCTTTCTACTATGTGAATTGCGAATGCGTCGAATGGCAGGCGGCATTAGTCGAGACTTATTCGAAATCCTTAGACCTGAGAATTGATGTTCATGCAGATCCTGAGTCACCGATTGAAATAAATCATAAATATTCCGATCACATTTTCCTTGCATATTTGATTTATTTGTATCCTTTGCTTTTGATTATATCTCTCTTTAATTGTAGGCGTCTTTTCAATAGAGTTTCTTTGATGGATTTGCATTCCTGTATTAACTGGTACTTTCACTTTGTAAATTTCTCGTTTAGGTGATTTGCTGAGATTACGTTAAAATTCGCTCTTAAACCAATGAAATACAATGCCGTCGGAATGATTAATATGATCGCAGTTCGAAGTGTCCGTTAGCATAAACCAAAGTTGACTCCTGAGAATTCATCAGCTACTATCAGTACATTGTTTTTCATTGAAGTCAAGCATATGAAGTTTCGTAAATGAAAACTGAAATTTAAAAAAATATTGATGAACGTACGCGTGACTTGTTTAAACATCTAGACAGCTAGACTTTTCGCAAATTCACAGAATAATATCGACACTTTTACGTAATTTACGTCTGATTATTAAATGTGCTAATTATTTATCGAACGCCGTCGACAGGAACTCCATAAACGTTAACCAAACTTTTCCAAATCTTTACGAGAAAAGTAACTTTGACGATTTGTGCGTGAATGTAATATGTTACGCTGAAGGTTAAATGTACAACAAACATAAAAACAACATTTGTAAAGTTTAATAATGAAATTTTTATTTTTTACCATAATCCTTTTCTTTTTTTTTTTATTATTATTTTGTTCTTGTTTTCTGTTAATTGATCTTCAGAAAAAAAAAAAAAAACAAAAAAAAAAATTGAAAAATTTTTTTAAACAAAATGAGTTTTCTTTGTATATGTATGCGCTTTAACCTAGCAGAGATCTAATAAAAAAAACCATATACATAAATGTTGTGCAATACTATTTCATATGCTTAATTAAAAAACTTTCCTTTGACTGTGTGTATCTATAAATTTCCTAAGCTTCTATACATTTTCCACGTTTGCATGTATATGTGTACACATATTTATATAGATGTACATATATATATACATATATATATATAATTTTTTTCAAGCCATTTTATATGAGTGGCTGTTTTATTTTACTTTTGCTCTTTTTAATACATAAAACTTTTTCGTGGCTTCATTTCGTACGCTCTTCCAACATTATAAAACATCAGGATATGTTTTTTTTTTTTTTTTTTTTTTTTGATTGTATCTCTCACAGACAATTAAATCAAAAATGTTATTAGATTTTCTTTACCTTGTTATATAACACAAAAGTACATTAAGAAACGCGAATGAGACAATTTTCTTAATCAATTGCTTAAGAATTTTCCTTAAGAATTTCTATCACCGACATTTCAGTATTAATCATTAAATTTATCGGTCAACTTTTTGCCATGTTCAAATTGTTTATCTCAACCAACTGTCGGCGACATTCAACTTTTTTAAGTTAAACCAAAAGCAAGCCTGAAAGTATTCGATGAGGTTTTGAGAGCGTTACTCAACCGCTAGCCGCTATTATGGCTAGCGAGTTAACATGTGGCATATACTTTTTTCTATTGCACTATAGGATGACAGTTTTGCTATGCGTTGATTAACAAAAAAAAAATTTCATTCATTCAAGTCAAAAATTCTTGATGAACTTATATAAATTAAGATCCTTATCAAGTTTGGGGACTGTGTATGGTTCTTCATATCGAGCAAACCAAAAAAAGGTGCGCTTTACAGATCCGCTTTAAAGAGCAGAGTACGCATGTTTCTAAAAAGCGAATGAAAAATTTTTCAATCGCAATTTTGACGCCGAGTAACATTTTTAAATTACAATCAGTTATAGTCGATATTAAAAGCCATAAACAGTTGCCTGCTTCTTAGTTATGTCTAGCTTGCCTGCAAAGGCAAACATGCATAATGTAAATGAAAGTTAGACAAAAGAAAGTAAAAAAAGAACCAAACACTAGATTTGTATTTCGGCTCAACAAACATTGCAACATTAAATGGTTATAGATCGCGATTAAAGGAATCATAAAAGTAATCAGACTTTCGATTATATTACGGCCGGCATTTTAAGTGACATTCGCTTACGCAACAACTTTCAAATGATTTTTTTATCAAAAATTAGAATATTATAATATACATATATATATATATGTATATATATATATATATTTTCTAACGATACTTCACTTTTCTATTTTATTTTTAACAGAATATGAGATCCGTGCGGGATCCGCGCGACAACTGTAATTTTGCGACTATATACAAAATCTCCCATTTTCATCGTGCCTCTGCTCGAAGGGGTAATGAGCCATCGAACAAACTGGTTTCTCATTGGAAGTAAATATGCCTGATATGTCAACGTTTCTCAGGCAAGATATCAGTTGCCATATGTAGTCAAGCGTTCTAAAAAATAGCTGTATCATGCATTTTGGTAAATTTTGGCCACTTTTCGGCACAATTCCATTAATTGGTTTCTATAACGTTCCCTAATTATGGTTTGTTTTGACTGAAACGCATTTATAATCCATTACACCCAACTGATGGCTGTAACGAGGAACATAAAGGTATAAAGAACTATCTTCGATGTTAGAAACTGACTTAGTTTCCATCGTGGTTATATTTGGGTTTCATATTTTGCAACATCGCACGACACAGCAGCATTTGTCAACAGCAAAAGCAAAGTTACACGTACCTAACAAAACCTTTTTTACGCTTATGTGGCACAACCCATCTAAAATATTGTCTTGCATACACTTCAACTTATACTGATACGTAAAATTGAAGAAGGAGAAGCCAAAGCAAAAGTGAAGCAATCTCCTAATAGAACTTAATATCTAGACCTGATGCATACGCCATTTCAGACATAACATACCAATTTTTAGAGTTGTAGGAGTCTTACGATGAAACAGATGAACAGAGAGATATTCACTGCATGGAGAGACTGATGCTCGCTTCTGAATATTGCAAACTGCTGTCAATTTTGAACGATCTGATTAAGCTAAACATATCGGCGATTTGAAGTAACTCAGCGTCGATTTTGGGCGACGCTAAAGATTAATTTAACGAAATTCGTCAAAATAAAACATCACCAGATTGACACGAAGAGGGTCCGTCGCGTTCGGCAAAACATTGTTAGCTATGTTGCAAAATATATTAGACCTTACGATTGCACGGAAAAAGGGTTTAAGCGAACTCCTTAGTTCCCTAAACACACACATCAACTTATAAACATTTTTCTATAATACTGTGTTATTAAAATGAAGGATGGCTCCGATCTCATACATTTATATGTTCGCTGTTCTTCTATAGAATTGTGGAATCTCGGGAAAACTTTTATTATTTATTCATATAACGGTATATTTTTATGTTTAAAAACGTAGCAATCACTTGGTTTTAAAATCACTTGTTTTTTTTTCCTTTCTTTTTCTTTTTATAGAAAACCAGACTTTTCTGATGAAGCGATCAAAAAACATAGACGTACACCTACCTGAAAGTGCAGCCTCGCTCAATAAGTGCATGGATTCAAGACATTTGTGCGCCAGAGTCCAGTTGTGTATCGCCGCTAAGAGAACTCTGCAAAGAAAAACCAAGTTTTAGGCAAATTTCATATTAAATCAAATTTTTTTTTTTTTTTTAAATATTAATTATTTAACGTTTGCTTTATTCGAGCGGTGTAATAAACATTATTTCATTGTCTGCATGTGTCATTAGCTGAATATTTTTTAATCTCTTTCAAACCAAAAACTTTTATTCTGGAAAACAATTTTTTGGCATTGTCTGTTATGGTGGTGTTGCTGTACGGATTATTATAACATTTTGAAATAGTTTTTAGGGCACAATTGTTTGCCAAGTTGGGTAAAGTATTTTACATAAAAGAAACTTTTTGTTGATTGCAAAAATTTTCTGTTACATTTTAATAGACAATAAAATATTGGAGTTTTCAACTAATATGAGTTTTAATTATGTATAAATTCTTGAATTTTGAAACGAAAAGGTAAAATTTTTATTTTCATTCAAATATTATATATATATATACAAGTATTTTAGCAGTGCATTTCAATATCTTAGCCGGGTCATTATTTGCAATAATTTGTTTCGCATAATATTTAGATAATTCGCAGCAAATTCCCATAAATTACACACCTTGGTATTGTTTCGAGTTTAGTTCAAACGTAAATAAAAATATATAAGAAATTTACGTGCGGCAATGAAGGCAACACGTGACACTGCGAATGCATAACCATACCGCCATAGAGTGAGTATGAAAAAACATAAGCACAAACTGACACTTAAATTTTGTGTGACACTCTTTAAGAGACAAATAGAAAATGAAACAATGGCAAATATGGAAGACATACTCTTCAAAAAAGTCGTTGACAATATGCCACATAAACAAGTAAACAAGTGCACAAATGCTCATCACAGTATACTATCTCGTACGTCGTCATCAAGCCGCACGTCGATGGCTTGCTTGTATACAACAAAACCCAAGCAATTTCCACAACATGAAAAGAAAGCAACGCGATTTTAAGACTTAACAGTAACAGGCAAAAAAGAAAAAAAAAAAAAAAATACGAAACAAAACACCAACTTTTCCTATGCCATCTAAACAATTCTTCTCTGTTTTTTTACAATCCGTCCTCCCGCCTGTTCTCATCATCAATTTTCCAGCAGTTGGCTAAGTGACTCGGGTTGCTGGAGCGATACTGTGTTTTGAAGGCATGCATAGCGTATGCGTGACATATTAAATTACGCATTAATGCCTAAAGCAAGCGTCACTATTACAACAAATATGTGCCGCCACTTGCTGTTGCTGTTGTTGATACAAAACATATCCCTGCCAAAATTTCAGGCGAAACGATGCCAGCCAAACCGTGCCCAGCATTCGCAACGACATCTCTATAAGGAAAAAAACGAAACATGAACTTTTTAACACCTTTCACGCAAGCCATCACGATTTACTTGATGGGTTTAATGCTACCGCCGCCATTGTTCTATGAAAGCATGTTTTCCTGTCACACTAAGTCTTCATTATTATTATTATTATTATTATTATTATTATCATTTTTATGGTATTATTATAAACAGCAAGCAAGAACAACAAGAACAACAAGAACAACTATTTGATTATCATCAATTTTAGCGTTTATGAAAATTTAATTTATTTTTTTTTGCTTTACCGATTTATATAATAAAATGAAAAGTGAATTGAAGAAGCAGCAAGTGGCAATTGCTTATGAAACACCAAATGAATCATGTTTCAAATTGAAAAGATTTTTTCAACTTATGCCAGGCCGCACCTCATTCGAGCACAAAATATTACAACTGCCCTAATTCAAAATGTCTTCTTCTTCATTTTTAAACATAATTCAAATTTCATCCTTAAAGAAATAATTTAACTTTTTTAATAGAGAGAGAGAGAGAGAGAGAGAGAGACATTAGATTACCAAGAATTCTGTGTGTCAGATATCGAGCTGCAGACAGAAAAGAATCATTTGAATAGCAAACTTTTTAGCGGAGAAAATTTCTTAAAATCACACTTTGCTTGGAAAACGGGAACAATAATAAAAGTTTGTTCATACTTTAGAACAATGGCGACTAAGTTTTATATTACCGTTAAAATAATTCTTGTTGAGCGCTGTCAATAAATTCTCTCCATTCGGATAATAGTTGTTGTATAGGTAAGGAAAGTACTTCCATAAAAGAATGTTTTCTATAAAATCATTCTCTTTAAAAGAGTTCACAATCGCAATAGTGGTCTGTGTAGAATTTTTTTATATAATTGAAAATATTTTATCATAACTACCTACGTCGGTCAATATATTTGCGAGTCAATAATTGAAATAATATCAAGAATTTATTATTCCGTCTAACCTTCCAAACACGTTTTTCCATGAGGCTGCAATTCGTATTCATTCAAAAATGATTATCACAAATATGCCTCCACGGATATTTACTGTTGCTTTATCCTTAGAAGTTAGAGATTACCCACGAAAGAATCTTTTGAGGATTTGAATTTGTTTTTGTATTTTCCATTGCCAAAACATATTCTTTCGTTCACCAGGACTTTTCTTAAAAATTTTTCCATCGAGCCGGTTCAAAAAGTCACAGCAATGATTCCAAGTTATCAAATATTTAACTGACGACATTCTTCTTTCATGCCAAAAAAAACACGTGCTCTTGTGATGCTTACAGTGAATAATTACTTTCCTAGCTTTTCTCTACTTATGCGTTAAACCGGAACGTACGTACATCAATAGCTAAAAGAGATATTTCCGCAAAGAACTTATAGTTTCTTATAAATTGAGAATCATTTTTCTACGACTGTTGCTTATATGAGAAGTTACAAGCCAATTATTGTAATAATGTGCCTTTGGAGTGTTGCTCTAATAGAACATCACTTTGTTGAGGTCTCTTTCCATAGGCACAAACGATTATCTGCAAAATGATTACACATTTAGAAACTTAATTTACTTGGAAAATTCTCTATGGAATAGTGATACGAATAGCGTTTTATTACAACTATATACAAATAAAAGTAAGATACGTTTGTAGACCGACATTCATAAAAGAGATACTTCCAAGGACGAATTTTTTCCACGAAGCAGTCCTGTGCAAAGCATCTCGTTATTCAAACAATGCTCTGTAGAATGTTTCCCCAAGAGGTTTGCCCTCCACAAGTTCTTCGATGCTAACAAAATGAAACACTTATTGGCAAAACAAGCCGCAGTCGGACGGATAGAAGACTCTCTGCAGGATAATTCCATACTGAATGCATTTGAATAGAAAGAAACAATTTTTCATAGACTGTTTGATAGTTGGCTCAGCTCTTAGCAACTCTTGCTTCTTGTTTTCCTTCTTCATTTCTCTAGAAGGTATTCCTCCTCCTCTTTAGAACACTTTGTCATTTAAATGATACCTTATAGAGTATGAAGATGAAAATATTTTTGTCCGGATAACTAGGCTGGGGTAGCCCCAGCGGCTATCCCAGGTGTCCTTACCTTGGTAATTTCTATTTCCCGCTTCAGTAAAAACCAACCCTAATATCTCTTGACATTACAATTTAACTGCTTTATTAAATAAGATATGCCACGAAGAGACTCGCTGTTGAAGATTAAACTTAAAATACCTACGTTGTCCTAAACTTAAAATACGTATAAATGACTTATCGTCAATTGTCCACGAACGGAACGGATGATTCCGTTAAATACTTCTTATTCGGCAAGTATATCGAGCTGTCCTAGCGGATCATGACGGATTTTACTTTCTCCTCTCACGCCTTACCTCGACGGCAGGCCAGTTTAAGAAGAAAGAATTTGAAAGTCATCTTCTTCTTCTCCATATTTTTGTAAGAACATGAATTGGCTTTGCCAATCGGTTAGAAGTATATCAACTAAGTTGTTTTCACTTCATTTCGTTCGTGCTCATACAGTTCTTGTTTATTAGAGCATCCCTAAAATACTCACAACAGAACAGCAACAAACTGCCTGCTATCAAAATAAATGTGTGTACAGTGAAATATATTTGTTGTACTTTAAATAGATACGAATAACTTATAACTACGTGTAGGAGTAAAACAAGCTGCTTGACTTTGGTCCTTACAAGAGTGATTATTCGATCACTCTTTGAACTTTTTCCAAATAGGAAATCATCTCTGCAGAAGCGAAACGTGTTAAAGTTTCTGGTTCTATGACGCGGAAGCAAATTTCGAAGAAGACAAACTAAGGATTTCTTTTTCAAGGTAATCCTCGATAATTCTAATTCCTTTAGTATTTTGCTAAAATAATCGCTAATTGAAATATAATATAAAATAAAAATAAGTCGCAATAAATGAAGCTAAGAAAATGTGTGTGCACATAAACAATACACATTTCACAAATTTTTTTCACTTAAATTAATGTTAACGCAATACATCTTTAAATACCCAAATAATACTTCGAATCCGTATACTTGACAGCATAATAAACATTCATTTCAATTTTGCGGATTGTGTGGTTAGAAACTACGCTAACAATGATGATAATAAACCACAAACATTAAAACATTATTAATAATTAGTCAGAAGCGACAACGCCAAGTTTGCATTTCATTGAGGTTACTGAAAAAAAAAAATAAAAATAAATAAATAAATAAATAAAAGAGAGAAAGAGAAAGAAAAACAAACATTGATAAACGTTGCTGATAGATTTACATTTTTATGATTTTTTAATGACAAAACTTAAATAAAACCTTGAAAAATATCCATCCTGGTATGTAGATTAAAAGAATTTACTAAAAATAAAAAAAAAAAAACACTTATATGCCCTAACTTAGGAAACGCTAACCATTTTGACCTTCATCAGAAAAAATATCTTTATTGAGCCTATTGTCAAACCGATCTGTTTTAACTCAAGCACAAATCCGCATTCATCCGCCTAAGTGGCCGATCAAGTAAAAATCGCGGCTACCATGTCTGTGTTCGCGGGCTTACAACTTGATGCGGCGCCGTAACTATAGTGAGTGCCTAATCGGTAAAGCTATTATGTCACCTTTTTACGAAAATACAGGGCATCACCTGACTGAATGGCCAGGGT